ATGTGGTGTCACTTAAGTTATTTGATCGTGGCACAAAGAAACTTCTATTAAAAAACCGCACAAGAATTGCTTCAAAAGTTTAATGAGGTTATCGATATTAACTTCATTTATATAAAAATATTTTTTTACCTTTTGTCTATCTATTTTTATAACCATTTTTTATTTTTAGGAGGGTAATATGGAGATTTAGCCATTTGTTTTGAATGTACTTTTCAATAAAAAGTTAGTGTTCAAATTCAAATTTCACATTATAATTTAAAGAACAAAGTTGATGGTTATGCAATCTCAAATTTCAGTGTTGATAATACAATCATTGTTGAATTGGAAAAAAAAATTAACATCAAATAGGAAATATTCATTTACGAAGAATACCACAAACATTATACTTATTAAATTTCGTTTTTTTATATTTCACCTGACCAAGTAACATATTTCTATGTACTACGAATGTAGGCGCCAGAATCCGATTCGTTTAATGTTTTATTAGCAGAAGTTGGATCTCAAAACACATTAAATTAGAAGGTTTTAAATATAATATAACTAAATCTAATATTTTAAAAACTTTAAAATATTATTAACTTTTAGATTGACATATGAATTTATTTTCTACATTTAGGATGTTGTTTCGTTTACTGGTGCCGTTTCGAATCTTGATAAAAACACTGCAACAAGTCCACTAACTAAGTGGACATCCTTTAAAAAAAGTATGGAAATGAAGAATTAAAACGCAACCGGTAAGATGTTTACGATGTTGATAATCTGACAACCATGTCCTCAAACAAACGACCATCAACATAAATGACAAATCGTACTTCTAGAGAAGACAAACCAAAACTGTTAATACCAAAGCAAGATAAATAATATATGATTTTCATGATTTTGTTTCAATAGTTTAGTGAGTTGAATATTATTCATTTCATATTTTATTTACATACTATTTGGTTTTGGGGTTTGATTTTTTATGACTTTATTTCGTATTATTCGTTTTTGGGGTAGAATTTTGATCAGTTAAATACATTTTGGGTTTTATGAAATATTGAATTATTCATATATTTTCCTTTTAGGTTTAAACTCAGATGAATTTAGAAATTTAATCATATTTTACTCTATTATTTCATTTGAATGTAATTATTTCAATATTGTTACAATGTTATTCATTACAACCTCAATATAAATATTAGAAAATTACTACTTTTTAGAAAACTGTAAACTTTTATAAATCTTTTAACCATTATAAAACAATTATTTATATTTCTTGTGAAATTATTTATAAATTTATTAGTAATATTTACCATTGAAATATTATTATTTTTAGATATTAATGATATCATACAATTTTATAGATTTAAATAATAAAGCTCATTACAATGATGTTAAAGAGAGACGAAGACTAAGACATTTACATTTACTAAATAGAATATCGATATCTATGTCTAAAAGAGAAACTTGCTTCCATCATCTAAAGCAATAAAGACTTTTGATTGTGTTTCACCTATACATTTCCACCCTTAGATCAAATTGCTTATGTCATATTTACCAATGTTTGGTTAAAGACGTTGTCCATTAATGTTTCCGCTCAAACCTTCACTAATTTCCTCTATCCCTAAAATAAAATTCAAAATTCAAAATTCAAAATTCAAAATCCTCTCCAAATTTAAATTTGTAATTTATATATAAACTAGCCATCATATATGTTTGCAAATCAACATGATATATCTTCATAATTATTCTATTTCTTTTTCAGTGTAGATTGATGGTACCAAAATTCATCAATGGAAAAACAGTCATCTTGAATTTAAATCTTATTAATATAGTAAATACCTCGTCAATGACTTCCAGCCTAGCTGGAAAGAGACATGGGTTTTATACCTATATGCGGTGGGAGGTTCGGAGTTCGACTCCCACAAAACCCTCTGTAAAAAATAGATAAAGTGTTTATCTCCTCATCTGGGGAGTTTCTCCCTGGAATCCTTATGGGGTCGTCTCTACCCTATTGGATGATTCGATCTCAGGGTCTTCGTTGAAAAATACGAAGGGGCTTCCGTTGAGACATACCGACGTTCCAAAAAAATAGTAAATACCTCAAGTTTTGAAAGTAATAATCGGCTTGATACATGTTGAATTACAATTGCTCGATTTCCATCTATCTAACTCAATAATTGTATGTATTTATTCTTAAACTTACATTTTTTATAATGTAGTTGATTATATTTACTATATTTAAGTTGCAGAGAATTTTACTTGAAAGTGATGAACATTAGTTGATGTTTGTATTGAAGCTTGAGGATGATGCAAAACTCTAAATACATTAGTTGTAATATCCTATATACTTAATAATTGAGTACTTTGAAAAAAAATATTTTCCATTAACTTTGATAACAAATTTGTTAAATTAAGCATATTTTTATGCTTATAAATTTGTGTTCTCTACTCACTTGTACTTATCATCTTAAAGATGAGATAACAATAAACCATGACTATATTGAAAAGTGTCAAAAAGATCATATTGGTCATACCTTTCTGACATGATCTTCAAATGTTCGTTGCTCAATTCTTTGTTTTTTATTTATATCGTTTTTGTGTATTTGATTTGTTTGTTCAAGAAACTCGGTTTTCTACTAATTTTGATAAAAAAAATTATTGAATTAAGCATACTTTTATGACTATAAATTTGTCAATTTTCTATTAATAAATCAAGTGTAAATGAATTTGAACAATTGTTAAATTTCATATTCTATAATGTAATTAATGTACTAATTAATCAAATAATAATACATGTCCAAGTGGTTGGGTACCTCCAGGACAATAAGCAAACATGCAAATTATAAGCAATTTCATAATATTGTATTTTTTGCTAGCTTTAAATTAACAATTACTTCTTTCACTTGCTTAAGATTATTGATTACTCAAATAGGTTTGTAAAAAAATAAAATTTTGATAAATTGAAAAAATTGTTCAACAAAACCTAATTGGTTATATATCAATTTAGGCTTCTTTTTGTGTTTTCATGTTTGTTGATTTGACTATGTAGGATTCATTTGAAGTTCTATTTCTCTACAAGAATGTTAATATTCACATTCAGTTAGAAACAATCACAATTGGTAAGTATTCCAAATGATTTTTCACTTACATTAATCAAAACTGTTACTTTAAATGGTGCGTTCTCATAGAAGTCATACCGGTTGTCACTATACAGATCTTCTAGCGGTATAGAAGAATCCTAGCGGCTCTATGAATAATTTTGCTGCGTTTTCAATGAAGGATCACTCTGTCAAGATTCGTTCTCTAAAGTTCTTTCTCTTATTTTTTATATACATGCGTGTCACAACAATAAGGTAGAAATAGGTGTTTTTTTTAAAGGGAACTTCCCTAACGAGGGTTTCTGGGCCAACTTCCGCGCACCGACTAATCCCCCGCTGCAAACATAAAGTTTTGCCTCATGCCCTGGAGTCACTGCAGGCGAACCTCCATGGCCACAAGGGCTGAGTGGTGGTAGAAAGAAGTGTTAGTAACCATTAAAGATGAAAATGTAAGATATAACTTAAGAATATTATATAAAGTATAAGTTGTGGATTTTTTATATTTATTTGTATGAAAATATGTTGTTTGATTGCTAGGTTATATATTTGGTTTTATTTTTTTTATTTTTATTATTATTTTTTTATTTTTTTGTAATTTGATTTTGACAAGTTTGATCTAAATTTAATAATTGAAGTAGGTAGGAAAGATATGTGTAAACGATTTTGAATTTTTACTATCCTCCAAAAACCAGTTGTAGACCGTTCATTCATATCTTGATAGGTCTTAGCATTTTCCCAAATTTGTCTACAAGAAGTCATGGATTCACTTATTGAATCAATCATCTAAACTGAATTTCATTTGTTAGTTGGATGTAATGACCAAAATGCAAGATTTGTGAAAATTCATTATTATTTATTAGTGCTAACCTTTGGCAAATCATGAAACTAATATTATATTTTTGTTCATAACATGTTTTTTTTTCTTTTAATAATTTCTTTGATCAGAAGATATGTATATGTGATTGGGTGTAGCCTGAAAAATCATATTTTAATTCTTATAAGGAAAAAATACTTTATAAATTTACCAAACTAAAATATCTTAATTTGATGTTTATGGTTATGACAATGCACTTAAACCGTAATGTTTATCGAATTTCTTTGCAGAATTTAATGTTGCTGGTACATATAATAACTTATTGTTGCTTTTGGTTTTATAGGGCCAATATGAAAAAAGTCATGTGAGTCTTCATTGAGGTTGGTACACCGGACAAAATCAATTTATAAAGCTACTACACAACATGTTTTAATCAAGAAGTCACATCATGTTGTGATAAAACAAAGATCACGTGGATCATTTGTGTTAAAAATTATTGTATTATATATCAAATTGCTCTAATATAAATATTAAATGTTTTTATTTAATAAGTTTGGTTCAAAAAGTCTAAAAATGAATCTAACTAACATTTTTTATTAAAAATTCACCTAACTCAATGTCACCTATTAGAATAATATGTATTTAATTTATACTCCCTGCATTTAAACGCAGTTCATAATCTAGTTTGTTACCATAACACAATGTAAAATTAACAAAATATAAATGCATGATTTAATTATTTTAGACAAAATTGCAAAAATGGTCCCTGTGGTTTGCCGATTTCTGTGGGTAAGATCCAAAAAAAAGTTTGCTAGCAAAAAACGTCATTATTTGATGTTTGAGCTGTGGATTTGGTCCCTGCCTCTAACTACCGTTAGAGGCATTCTGTTTTCTTCCCCACGTGCCATGCACATGAGGGTATTTTTGTCCTTTCATTTATGGGGGGAATGCTCATCTATTACCGTGCATTTAACGACGTCGAAAAACATCAGACACTCCAGCTTCTTCCTCGTTCAATTTCCATTAACATTCGAACCCTAAGTCAACGATTTCCACCCCGAATCTTTTCTTTAGCTGAACTGCAGTCCAGTAGATAGAAGGAAAAAATGGTGCATTCACTGTGGACTATACGTCCTTCGACGATGGGGTTTGATGCACTGGATTTGTATGGTGAGTGTTATTATAGCTTTTTAAACTTAAATTTTTTGAAATTTCACACAATATGCTAACTACATTTTGTATTTTTTGTTGTTTGGGATAGTCGATCATTCCCATTTGTTCACAATTGAACTTCGCCATGGTGGGAAGCTCACACCTTTTCCAAATGTAAGATATGTTAAGGGGAAACTTACGTATATTGATTTAGTTGATATAGATGAGTTTTCAGTGCATGAACTCGATGCTATGATGCTAGAACTAGGATACGTGGTTCCCCCAGTAATATATTCTCACTTCAGGATTCCCAATGAAGACTTGATTTTTGGCCTTAGAGCTCTAGGTAATGATCAAGATGTGTGTAACCTAGCTAAATATACTGGAGCCAACAAGGTGATCCAGGTGTATACTGAGTATGGCACAACCAACTTGGTTACATACTTCATGTCACCAAATAAGAGAAATGGTGTTGTCATTGAAGAACTAAATGAAGAAGATGAAGTGGCAATTAAACCAAAACAAAGAAAACAAAAATTAGTTCATGATCCCCAACATGAAATTTTTAGTTCATCATTACCACTTGTGGTTTATGGAGGTGAATGAAAATCACTTTCGCCATAAATGAGGAGAACAAGAAATTGGAAGCCAAGAGAGGGTACTAGGTCATGTTCTAAGAGGTTATACATGGAAACTGAAACAAGGGATAATCAAGACAATGAAGCACCATCAAGTGAAATCAGGGATAAGCAAGACAAGGAAGCACCATCAAGTGTGACAAGAGATAATCAAGACAAGGAAGCACCATCAAGTGAAATCAGGGATAAGCAAGACAAGGAAACACCATCAAGTGTGACAAAAGATAATCAAGACAACGAAGTACAACAAAAACATGAGCTTGATGCAGCAACTGTGTATGTACCAATTGGTTTATCTAAAATGTTGAATGTAGACTTTGATCCATTTGAAGGGTTGCATGATAGTGAAAACAACAACAAAACAGACCCTACAACAATCCACCTTGGTAGTGAATATCAAGACTTTGATCAAGATAATGGGGGTTTATTTGATGGTCAAGCAGACGAGTTCAATTCAGAAAAGGGTAAAGATGTTATAGTGATGATGATAGTGATTCTGATAGTGATGTTATAGTAGACATAGATAATGAAGTTGATGACATTGATGTTGACAAGAGTGACTTTAGAATGAACATTGATAAAGGTGTGGAGTATTCAGGATTTGGGATTAAGAATGATGTAGAAGACGAACAAGAAACAGATGAAGAAAAAGACCTTGAAGTAATTGATTGTGATGGATGGAAGTCATTAGGAGAAGACTCTGATACTGAAAAGAACGGGAGGGTTCTATTAAAACGATTGGATAAGGAGAAAGTATGTTCACATGGTGAGGTGCATAAATCTAGTTTTTATGTGGGACAGATGTGGAAGTCAAAGAAAGATCTTAAGAATAAAGTGGATGAGCATGCACTTGAAATAAGGAGGAATCTTGCTTTTAAAAAGAATGATGCAACATGACTAAGGGTATATTGCAAAGGAGTTGTGCCTGGTACCAATGTTAGCGGGCCACATGTGGATGGTAGGACAAGTGGTGCAAGTGGGTCCCATATGTTAGGTGGGGCAGATAAAGTAAATAAAGGCAAGGGCAAAGCAGTAAATTCAAAAGCAACCACTTGTACTTGGCACTTATATGCATCTAGGTCTTCGAAAGATGGGAATTGGTATGTGAAAACGTATAGTCTGAAGCACACTTGCCTTCAATCAAAGAAAATTCGAGCTTGCACAACCACTTTTCTTGCAAAACATATTACTAGACAAGTTCAATCAAACCCCACAGTTCTGATTCGATCCTTACAAGAAGACTTTCAACAGACATACTCAGTGGGGATTTCAAAGCATAAGATGTTTAGGGCTAAGGCAAGGGCTACAAAGAATGTTGTTGGAGACTACTCAAAGCAGTATGACTTGCTTAGAGATTATGCACTCGAACTACAGTCCACCAATCCAAACACCACAGTGAAGATAGATGTTGTAAGTGAGCCTAACCCGCACTTGGCCACTAGGCAGTTTAAGAGAATTTACATATGTTTAGGCCCACTGAAGTTGGGGTTTAAAGCTTGTATGAGGGACCTTCTTGGTCTAGATGGTGCCTTTATGAAAGGCCATTATCATGGGCAAATATTGACAGCTGTAAGCTTAGACTCCAACAATGATATCTATCCACTTGCATATGCTATAGTAGAATCTGAAAATACTGCAAGTTGGAAATGGTTCTTGGAATGTCTAGGGGATGATTTGGAGATGGGGTTTAATTCTAACTTCACATTTATCAGTGATAGGGAAAAGGTAATTCTTTATTTATGCATAATGCCTTTACAATATTATAATTAACATGTATTGATTCAATCTTATATTTACTTTTTAGGGTGTGATACCTGTTATACCACAATTATTTCCAAATGCAAAGCATGGGTATTGTTTAAGACACATCCATGAAAACATGAGGAAACAGTGGAGAGCTAAGGAGTTCAAGGAGTTTATTTGGAGGTGTGCAACAGCAACCACAGTTCAAGAGTTTCAATCTACAATGAGGGAGTTAGTTGAATATGATCGGGCTGCACATGATTGGTTGAATCAAATACCACCAATGCATTGGGCAAGAAGCCATTTCACAGGTAAATAAAATTTATCTTATTAATTGATATGCAACTATTTTTTATTGCCCAATGATTTTGATTATGGATTATACAGGTAGGGCCATCTCAGATGTGCTTCTAAATAACATGTGTGAAGTTATGAATGGTAAGTTGGAGAAAGGAAGGGACAAGCCAATCATTACATGCTTGGAATTTATAAGGGAATATATAATGAAGAGGATCTGCAATATGGTAAAAGAGCAAAGGAAATGCCAAGGTCTTCTCACACCTACTGCAACCAAGTTGTTAAAAAAGGATGAGCAACAAGCAGCTGAGTATATTGCAAGGTGGAATGGTGGTGGAAAGTATCAGGTAGATGGACCATGGAATGATCAACATGTTGTGGACATTAACCAGATGACATGCACATGTAGGAAGTGGGAGTTGACAGGAATCCCTTGCAGGCATGCCATAGCCACTTGGAGTGAGATGACAAACACTTGGGAAATGGTAGGGGAGCTGTACACTTGGGTACACAAAGTTTATTTACTGGATACTTGGAAGGTTGTGTATGATTTTAAAGTTGAACCAATAAAAGGTAGGATAATGTGGCCTAAAAGTGATTGTCCTACTAGAATTATCCCACCACCATACCACAAAATGCCTAGCAGGCCAAAGAAGAAAAGAAGACAGTTTATGGAGTAGAGAATGAGCTAAAAGGAAAAGTCCAGTCAAATTGAAAGTGTGATAGCAATTCAAAGTCAAACTCAAGGATCCAAAGAAGTGGAGAAGCTTAGTAGGAAATTTAGGAGTGTCACTTGTGGTAAATGCAAACAAAAAGGACACAACAAAAGGACATGTAAAGGTCAAGGTGCAGGTCAACAAGAGGGTGGAGGAACTAATGAGGGTCATGATCAAGAGTAGTTTGTATGGTCAAGTGTAATGTTAAGTTGTTAAATCATCTTTTGGTTTAATTTGTTTAAGAAACTCCCATATGTTGGTTGTTTTAACAGTTATTAGTATGTTAAGTTATTTTGCAATTCCAAAACTCATGTGGTTGCTTCTTTTTTGTTACACTTGGATATTGTAATGACAATTGCTTTTGGTTATGTGCAATGGTATTGTAATTTGCATTACCTTATTTCGATTATATCTTATGATTCAATAGCACTTAGTAAGTTCCAAAATGGTATTGTACTTTTCTTAATATCATTTCCTGTATTGTATTACCATTATAGTCTCCATAATAACAACAATTAAATAAGATAATATTCCATACATTATAATTCGAGGTACAAGGTTCATGAAATGACCATTATAGTATACAAAGGCTTATTCATCAAAACAATAAGATCCCAAAAAAAACTTAGCACCATAGGTGGAACTTAACCCTAATCCCTAATTCCACATCCAGAAAACAAGAAAAAAAATCTAACTGCACCACAAGTAAAACTTCAATTTACAAACTTCATCTTCTAATTCTTTCACTGTCATCTTCAGGTAAAACCTCAAATTCTGAATTTCATCTTCTAACTCTTTCACTGAAAGCTTTAAATTGTTCATCTCTTTAGTAGACCAGGAATGATAGCCTTAGCACGATCACACATTGGAGGATCAAACCATCCAAGGAATCGACATTTTAAGTCCTTTCAAAGATGAAGCACACAAAATTAGGGCAACAATAAGGTGTTTGATGGCAAAAATTAGAACGCTGCTTTACCGGTAGAGGGCATGCGTAGAACCGTCGGCCTGTATTGAGTGGAGTCCACGATGTGCGCAACACAGAATTGTTGCCACAAAAGCATATGATCGTTACCATTTTCACAGAGAGAGTCGTTGGGGAAGATGGGTTTAAGTCGAGGTTAAATAGAGAAATTAGATTGCAATTTTGGTCCCATAAATAAAATGACAAAAATACCCTCGCATGCATGGCACGTGGGGAAGAAAACGGAATGCCTCTAACGGCAGTTAGAGACAGGGATCAAATCCACAGCTCAAACATCAAATAAGGATGTTTTTTGCTAGCAAACTTTTTTTTAGACCTTACCAACAGAAATCGACAAACCAGATGGACCATTTTTGCAATTTTGTCATTATTTTACCTCATAACAAAAGTAAGTGACTTTGTTATTTTGGCAAATTGGTCCAATACAATAGGGCTAAATGAATGCAATGAATGTTGCTGACTTTGCATAGGACGCTTTGTCCACCCCACGTCAGATTTGCATTCTTACCTCCCAACCCTACAGCACCCACCCCACCCCTAGTAGGCTTAAATGTTGAGCCACCCCCACTCCCACCCCCACCCAACAATTAATCCATGAGAGATAGAGAGATATATGTGGTGTTTTTTGTGTTTAAATAGCGAAAATTTCGTATACTTTTGAATATTCAAAAAGTTATCAAAGGGAGAGTGTACTTTGTCATAGGTATACCAGAAAGACTAATGGGTGAAGAAGTAAGTGTCATTTTTATCTCACTATGCATACTCTCCCGTTTCTTCGATTCATTCATGTATATAACAATGACTTGAACAACTACACGCTGATATTAACGAGTCATCTTTGTGTATTAACTTTTGAAGGAGAAGAAAGAAGAAGAGAAGAAGGAAGATGAAAAAGAGGAGAAGAAGAAAGAAGAAGAGTTTCCTCAAGAAGTTGTGTTGAGGGTTGATATGCATTGTGGGGCTTGTGCTAGAAAAGTTGCAAGATCCTTGAAAGGATTCCAAGGTCCTTTTTCTATCTTTAACAACTTCATACTCTATATCCAACTTTATACGTTACATAAGTACGAATATCAACAGTTTATTCGCTGTCATAATTCAAAATGATGTCTTTGAACAGTTTTGTTTGTATAAACAGGTGTCGAAGAAGTAACCACGGATTGCAAAGCCAGTAAAGTTGTGGTGAAAGGAAAGGAATTAGACCCTATTAAAGTTAGCGAAAGGATTCAA